TTTTTTGGGGGTCTAGTCTGTTTGGTGTTCTATAAGCTTCTTGTATCTTCATAGGCATTTCCTTCTTTAAGTTGGGAAAGTTTTCTTCTATGATCTTGTTGAATATATTTTCTGTGCCCTTGAGTTGGTATTCTTCTCCTTCTTCGACCCCTATTATTCTTAGGTTTGGTCTTTTCATGGTGTCCCAAATTTCTTGGACATTTTGGTTCATGACTTTGTTGGCTTTAGTGTTTTCTTTGACTGATGAATGTATTTCTTCTACTGTATCTTCAACGCTAGAGATCCTCTCTTCCATCTCTTGCATTCTGTTGATTATACTTGCATCTGAAGTTCCCAATCGTTTTCTCAGATTTTCTATTTCCAGCATTCCCTCTGTTTGTGTCTTCTTCATTTTTTCTATTTCCCTTTTCAGGTCTTGGACTGTTTCCTTCATTTGTTTCATTGATTTTTCTTGATTTTCTCTCAGTATTTTATTGTTTTCTTCCAGGACTTTATTGATTTCTTCTAATTTGTTTGCCCTTTCCTCTAGTTGTTTACAGCGTTCTTCACATTTTTTTGTCTTTTCCTCTACACAAGCCTCTAGCTTCTTCATGATGTCATTCATAAGGCTGTTTTCTTCTGCTTCTTCCAATTTCTGATGTTCAGGTCTAGGTGTTGAAGGAGGGCTAGGGCCTGGTGATGCTGTATTGCTATTCATTTTGTTGTATATGTTTCTGCCTTGACGTCTGCCCATCTCCTTGTGCTTCGTTACTGGCCTTATCCGCACACTTGGTTCAGCCAGACCAGTGTTCCAAAAGGGAAGTCCGGAGCAAGATGGGAGCTGGGGGCCGGCCTCTAAGTCTCAGGAAGAGGCTTGGGGCTCAGGCGGATGGGAGTGGGGGCAGGGCGTGGAGACTGCAGGGTCTGCCAGGGGTCTTGGAGAAGGGGATCCTTCCCGGTGGGGCAGCAGGGAACCTGCCGGGTGGCCAGAACCTGGGGCCAAGTTGGGCAGGTCTTCCCTGGAGTGGCTGGTGCCCAGGGATGGGGTCCAGGGCAAGGAAGGGCACTCACCAGTTTTCCAAAAGGGAAGTCCGGAGCAAGATGGGAGCTGGGGGCCAGCCTCTAAGTCTCAGGAAGAGGCTTGGGGCTCAGGGGGATGGGAGTGGGGGCAGGGCGTGGAGACTGCAGGGTCTGCCAGGGGTCTTGGAGAAGGGGATCCTTCCCGGTGGGGCTAGCAGGGAACCTGCCCGGTGGCCAGAACCTGGGGCCAAGTTGGGCAGGTCTTCCCTGGAGTGGCTGGTGCCCAGGGATGGGGTCTGGGGCAAGGAAGGGTACTCACCAGTTTTCCAAAAGGGAAGTCCGGAGCAGGATGGGAGCTGGGGGCCGGCCTCTAAGTCTCAGGAAGAGGCTTGGGGCTCAGGCGGATGGGCGTGGGGGCAGGGCATGAAGACTGCAGGGCCTGCCAGGGGTCTTGGAGAAGGGGATCCTTCCCGGTGGGGCTAGCAGGGAACCTGCCCGGTGGCCAGAACCTGGGGCCAAGTTGGGCAGGTCTTCCCTGGAGTGGCTGGTGCCCAGGGATGGGGTCCGGGGCAAGGAAGGGCACTCACCAGTTTTCCAAAAGGGACGTCCGGAGCAAGATGGGAGCTGGGGGCCGGCCTCCTGTATTTTCTTTATGAGTAATAGTTACAAACCGATAAGTTAAATTAAAAACACAACTTATTAGAAGAGGACTGTCATTTCAGATTCAAAGACAAAATTGTGTTTGTTATGGTATTAGAAAAGATTTCTTATAATTGTTCCCACTGTGATTGAGCTGGTTTGTTTCTCTAACAGAACTTGGTCAGTCATGACTGATAACTTTGCAAGCCTAACTCTGTTAAAACTTCACAGACAATTTCCAGTACACTGGTTAATTTTTTTTCCTTTACATTTGTCCTTGTTCAAATCATGTTTGGACAGCCATGTTGGTGATGCTGTATGGGTGTAGCTTCTGACATCACTAGGATACAGAATCTCACAGCAAACGACCTAATCCTCTGGTTCTTGCAATCTTTTCACCCCATTGTCTGTTTAGGCATTCATTGTGTGTGTGTGTGTGTGTGTGTGTGTGTGTGTGTGTGTGTGTGTGTGTGTGTGTGTGTGTTGCCACCAAAGTGTGTAGGTCAGAAGACAGTTTTGGGGAGTTGTTTTTTCTTCCCACTCTGTGGGTCCTGGGGATTGAACTTGGGACCCGAGGCTTGGCCTTTACCTGCTGATCAACCTCATAGGTTCCATCTTATCTATTAAATCTACAGATCTGTCATTCCCTGCTTCGCTGCCTTCCCTCACCACTGCTTTACATCTAGTACTTCTCATCTCTGGCTGAAACTCTGAAACATCCTCCTTGTGAATTCCTCTAGTGTTTTGTTTTTTTTAACCTACATTTCTGAAAGGTGTTGAATATTCTTTCTATAACACAAATTGGACCATCTTTTTTCCTTGTGTGAAATTTGTGTGGTTTAACACTTTTATGAAGAAATCTTGGAGCACAGAAACTCCCTCTGAATGATATTACACCTTGGTGATTATAACAAGTTTTAGGACAACCTCAATATCAGTAAAGTCAACAAAAGTGTTAACACTTATTAATGGTATGTGTTTTTTCCCTCCCTTTTTGGCATTTACTTTCTGACTGCCTTGATATTCCTTGAAGTTGCCTTAAAACCTCACACCTGTATTCCTTTATTCCTTTGCAGTTACAAGTACTTTTCTCCCTTAGTATTTCCGCAGTGACTAACAGGCTTACCTTCCAGCATCCAGTTTAAGCATAGCTACTTTTTATGTAAATAGTCTTCTTTGATAAGATAGCCTATTTTCTCATGAACTGCTGATACTCTGTCTGCATTTCTACTGATAGCTATCACTACTATGTTTACATATCTGTTTACCTCTAGGAGACTTAGGCAATTTGGGAGCAAGAACTGTGACTTACTGATCTTTGTGCTCTGATAAAGCTCCTGATTCAAAATAGGAGAACAATAAAAATGTTGGTTGAATACATTGAAAATTGCCATGTAAAGACAGGATTATTTTTTTCACAAAACACTATGCAACCCACTTTTCATTATTTGGTTCAGTGTTGCTGGTATAATCTCTATTAAACTTTAGAAATATATTTTAATGTATATGTATGGGTGTTTTGGCTACATCTATGTCTGTGCACCATGTGAGTGCCTAGTGCCTATGGAGGCCAGAAGAAGGCATAAGATTATCCTGGAACTGGATTTACAAATGAATGTGAGCCACCCTGTAGGGCTTGGAATTAAACCTGGGACCTCTGAAAGAATAGCAGGTGACTTTTCAACAGCTAAACTATCTTTCTAGCCTTAGTAATCTTTCTTTCTGTTTGTTTTTAATGTTTTATTTATTATTTGATACTTTTATACGATATATTTTATCATATTTTTCTCCTCACCAAATTCTTCTCACAACCTCTCTCATATTTCTACTTATCCAACTTCCTGTTCTTTTTCTTTCTTAAACAAACAGCCACAAAAACATGGATTCAAGTTTGTGTAGTCATAGGAACTGCCCTGGAAGGTGGTTGATATGCCAAGTATCATTACAACGAAGAAAACTAACTTTCCCTTTTCTTAGAACCCACCAGTTGTGAATAGCTTCTTGTCCAGAGGTGGGTCTTTGTGCCCATTTGCCCTCCTTCATGCTGAGGTTTTCGTCTGGCTTATGCTTGTGCGGGTCTTGTGCATTCTGTCGGCCTCTGTGAGTTTGTGTGTTTATCGTGTCTGGAAAAACACTTTTTCCTTAAAGTTACTCACCACCCCTCCTCTGGCTTTGACAGTCTTCGTACCCTTTTTCTCTATAGATCACTGAGCTTTGAGGGGAGGGGTGTGAGCTAGACTTCTACTTTTAGACTGAGCACTCAAGTTTCTTACTTTCTACATGTTGTCTTTGTATGTGATGTTCCTTTATGTTAGGCTATGTTCTATAGGTTTTCCTCCTGCCCCCGAGGCTCATGATCTGTCTCATCTCAAGCTTTTGACCTTACAAACAGTATCAAGTTGGGATCTCACACAGGAGGCTTTACATCCAATTAAAAAGTTGTGGCTTGCCCCCACGCTATTTGTGCCACTGTTACCCTTTGGGCATATCTTGCAGGCAGGTCATTATTGTAGCTCACAACGATCTTAGTTGGGTGAGATTGATGTTTGCTTTTCTCTTCCAGTAGTATTTGTTATTCAGGCAAGGTAAAGTTTTCAGTTAAGTACCAGCCAGACTTCTCAGTGTTCTATGTCACAAGAATGTGGTGTCTTCAGCAACAGGTCTTACTGTCAAGTTATGGAGGCTAAAAAATAGCGTTGGCCATAGCCTGTAATGATTGGGATGTCTATGTTGACCCTTTGGCCATGCCTAAAAAGACATATAATCTAGTCCTGGTTCTGAGAGTTTTATTTGGCAGCATATGACATCTAGCTGGAGTACTGTATTCAATGACCTTTCTTAAACATTTTCGTTAAAATTTATTCCTCTGGATTTTTAATAATTTCTTTTATCTGACAAAGATATTCCAAATGACTTTTCTTTCTTATGTTGAGTATATCTACTGGTGGAGAGAAATTAATGCTTTGTACTACTGATTTTATTGGCTTAAACCAATTAATAAACAATACCTAAATTATGGGCATTTTTAAGTGAGGAGTATAAGCATGTTGATTTTTCTTGGAGAGATAAAGAGAAATGATAGACACAGAGATGAAATAAATTTTATGTGGCTTGAGGAGTGATATGGATGTTTGTATTGTTTATAAACCTGATTTCAAGTATTTGGAAATAAAAGCTCTACAACCATATAAAATAAAAATTTAAACCTGATTATAATGATTTTGTGTATTTGGTTTCCATTTATAACTATATTGTCATACAGACCAAAGAAACACAATTGTTGACTTCAAAATGTTTCAATAATATTTTTTATCTGAGATACTATGACATTATAGTCTGATTGTTGTAATGTGTTTTTATAGGGCACTAACAAGTGCTGGTAAGGAACTGCAAGATAATTTTCTGAAGGCCCTGGCCATGAGAGAAGAAGATAATCGCAATGGGAAAGTGAGCGTGAGTACATTTTACCCCAAAATTCAAATGTATTTTCAAATACACGGTTCATATGGATGATAGAGCCTGCAATATCTTCCATAAGAAGCAGTTTATGTACAGGCAAAGGAGATGGCTTGGTAGACAAAGGGGCTTGCTGCTGAGTTGGATCACGAGGACCCTCATAGTGTCAAGGGAGAGCTGACTAGGTGGGATTGTCCTCTGATATGCACATGCGTGCCACAGCACAGGTGCACGCCACACCCATGAAATAACTACTGTAATGTAATATCTCCTGAGTATATGACTATATTTATGTATTATACTAATCGGTGTAGATTCCTAATAATCATTTATGTTTATGAAAGTGGGAAAATGGTGAAAAAAGATAAGCTTCTAAACGTTTTTAGTAGGGAAAATGAATATTTGTCAGACTGGCTGTTATTTCCCACTTGTGCTAATCTTAGGTTAAATAGTCCTGCTTCTTTTCAATCCTACCTAACTGTTATCTCTAAGTTCCATAACCCACTGACTTCCACACTTTGTTCTGTGTTGCTTTCGAGTTTGGCCTGAAAGACACTTTTGCGATCTGTCTTACAGCTCTATTTTCTGACATCATTGCTTCTAATGATCTATATTATATACCTATTAATTTTTCTATAGAAGAGTTCCTTAATTTTTACTTGATATCCTAAGTATATAATTTTTAATCTTAGCTGGGTAATCACTTGTTTGAAAACCATAATATTGTCATACTTATTGACCATGAGAAAAAATGTGTGACCATCCATTTGGTCCTTTGTGTTTGCACTGAGTTGTTTTGAGAGAAGACCTGGTATTTGAGATGACTGACATGTTTGACTTGAACAATTCTACATTGTAAACACGTATCCAAATAACATCTTGTACCCACAAATATATGTGCTTATTTCTGGCCAACTAAAAGTATAACCAAACACTAAATAATTAACTTGACAACTATTTAAGTAAGTAGCTAATTAAAAAGGTCTTCTGACTCCAAGACCATCCCCTCTTTGCTCTATGTCACACACTTAATTGATAACTTGGCAAAAGTTCTTTCTCTTTCCTACCCTTCACATGTCACATCTAGTTGGCCACTGATCCTGGTCAGTTATTCCTTTTAAGTATCTCTCAAATAAGTAATTGAGAGGACATAAATGATTCAAAATGGGGGGAGGAGACAGCTCTAAACTGTCTCTTTTTGTGTTCAGTAGCATTAGTAGCAGCCTGAAGAAGGCTTGAAAGAGTTTAGGAAAACTGGAGGTATGATCAAACAAGCATTTGAAATATTTGCAGCAATTGGTGGGGAGCAGTGTGTGTCTCTAAGGGGCAAAAGATGAACCATGAACCAGGGAACTCACCTGAGAGGTCAACATGATTATCAGACAATAGATAATGGAAGGGTAGGATAAAGAAATGACGGAACTAATGTTGGTAAAAGAAAGAATAAACTAGCATACTCAGAGATCAAATCTGTAAACCATGTACTGTTCGTTTGTTTTGGTGATAGGGTCCCCCACCTTCCACTCCTGAGCTATATCTCCAGCTCCCATGTGCTTTATTTTGACACAGGATACAGTAGGACATAGAGGGGATTGTGAAAGACTATTTACAGGATTGAGTTTGGAATATTCCATGGAGAATGAATAGCTTATGGGATGAGAAGTGTAGTACTGAGTTTAGGGGGTGTGGGTGTAGAGTGTTTCATATAGCGCAGTGATTAAAAGAGAATCTGGAGGTGGAGAGTGACTACTGTCAAGGTCAGTACTCATGGTTTGTTCAACACAACAGATCTTCAAAGGGTCTGTAAATAAAGAAAACTTGCCAATTAGGCAAATTCTTATGTTTCTCTAAGCCATGTTGGCCTGTCCTGTAATGTGGTATTTAAAAGAATATTCTTTTATTATTGATTGAGTTTGGAAACAAAACATTAGTACTTTGCACAATGCATGTTACATTAAGTATTTAATATTTAATGTGTTGTATGAAGTATATTTATAGTCACTAAAGTTCGAATTGTGAATGAAATAGATATAGACAATATTGTAGAATATTTCTGGAGAAGAACGGGATGCTGAGATGAAGCCATATATACACAGCCAAGAAGAATGGACAGCTGAATTAAAAAACCAACAACAATTTCCAGAATTTAAAATCCTGAATCATGACATGACACTAGTGGAATTCAGGTGTTTCTGGTACATGGACTGCTCTCACCCAATGTGAGGTTGAACTGATGACCTTGTGTACATCCTACTTCACAAATGAGTCTGTCAGATATGCTAAGCCTATAGGCTGAAGATGATGCCCCAACACTGTGGAGAAACCTCAGGTGACTGTCCAGGCAGCTGGCTGTTTCTGTCAACTCACAAATTTTTTGGAAGTTGCTTGCATGCACTTTCTGTTTTTATTTTTGTTAGCTAATATCATTTCCTTCTTGGGGCTCTGAGGGAGTTGAAGATTAGGTAGTTATAGTTGAAGGTTAGTTAGTTATAGTTGAAGATTAATTAGGATAGAAAGTGAATTAGATACATTTTGGACTTAACAAAATAGGATAGATAATGAAATTATTTTCTCTGAATTTGTCAAATACAAATGGACTAGACATTGTTTAGACATTTATTACTTGTATATATTGTATATAGTCATTGTACTTTTGTATATAGTTTTTCTTTTGTTAATTATAACCTTTTTCTGTTTTTCCTTTTTATTAAAATAGAAAAAGGGAAATGTGGTGGTATTTTACTTGTACTGAAATGTGATTTTAATTGTATGTTAATAAATAAAGTTGTCTGGGGGTCAGAGCTATTAGAGCCATAGCAAGTGCGTGGCGGCGGTGGCGCACACCTTTAAGGACATGGAGGGCGGTACATTCAGGCAGTGATGAGGCAGTCACATGTTTGGGTTTACAACCAATGAGAAGGCAGAACAGCTAGAGTATATAAAGTCATACACACAGGAAGAGGCCCCTCCTTTTCGGAGAGCTCTCTTGGCTGAAGAGGATCCCTGAATCAGGAAGGGTGAGGCTCTTAGCTCTGACCTCTTGGCTTTCTTCTCTGAATCGGCTCTGTGTTTCTTATTTAATAAGACCATTGGTTACATCTACATATTTCTTTGCTAGTATATAAAGGATGGGTTTAATAAATTTGAATTGCTCTTTAGAAAAGATGGTTGAAAGGGCTCTTTGTGATGATTATAGATTCATTAGGGATCTAAAGATTATTCATCATTGATAAGATTCTATACAATCAGAATATTAATAGCACACTTTATAGAGTGTATTTCTGCTATAGGAAATATTTGGTTTTTTATTAATGTTTCTCTCTATGCAAATCACTCATATTTATCACAAACATGAATAAGACATAGGCTCTCCCTACCTTTCTATTGCCACAGGTTTATGTAACTTCTGAGTGGACAAGCAGCTAAATCATTTTTCAGATAATAATAATCTAGAATTCTTGATTTGATTAATGGAAAAGGAAAAATAAAACATTTCCTATCTAATCACAGTCTAATGAAAGCTTTGACATTTTGCATGGTGTTCCTGGTGGTACCTCATGGCGCTTATTTTTCCCTCGATGTTGAGTGTGTAAAAGCTACATGACTGACTAGTTTGACCTTTGAAATATGTTTTATTGAAGCTGGCATAAAACACTATCTACAACTTTCCATTCATGGACATTCAAAGAAGCCACTGTAACCAGAACAGGAAAACCTATGAATTAGGTTTTCTAATATACCCATATCCTGTGTTGAAATCTCTATGAAACATAAGATTGTATTGTATATGACCAATTACATTGTGCTGACATGATCTTTCCCCTCTTTTCTATCTTCAAACTTCTCTAAAATGCTCCCTTTCAAGAAAACAAAAGTATTAGAGATATGCTTACTTCCTTTTTAATAGAATCCATGCCTGTCTGCTGTAAACCATTGTGGAAATTGTATGATTCATAAAGTCTTGCCTTCATTATATACAGGTTACCTCAATGCTTGAAAAATAAAGTGCAGATCAACTTTCCTTTAACTAGAAATGTATAATTGAATATCTCTGTATCTTTAATTCATTTGTCTTTGGATAAAAATATGGTATGTGGACATTGAGACAAAGGTGAAACACCAGAGGCTATGTAGTCATATTATCTGTGTTTAATTTTTAGATTGACCACTTATTATAGGCTAAACATGCATACTTTTACTTTATATAGTCCTAGTTTTCCCATGTATAATGTGAAGATTTTTACACTGATGAGACATTGTCATATTAAAATAACATAATGTGTAAAGCCCAGTTCTCTGTTATGAAACCTTTAGGGCCTGAGAAAGTGTGATGATGTAGATAAAGACCTAGGCAGAGATGGGACCTCAGCAGAATCTCAGTCTTAGTCCGATCACACAGTGAACTCTGTGAATTGTCTCACAAAGTTTCTTTTGCTTTAAATCAAGGGAACTATGCGTTTATCCACTCTGGTCCCACTTCCTCTTTGTTGGTTAATCAATAGCTGTCACAGAGGCAGGAGGTAGCAAAAGTGAGGCCATCCTTTGGATGAAGGTGCAGGCAACAACAATTAGCTGTTAGCACTTGCCAAGTCTGTAGATGAGTGCTAGTGCCCAGGGCAGGGACCTGGGAGCGACATCTTTGCCACAGGTCTCTAGAGTTGCCATTTTCATCTCTCATTTCTTCCCCTTACCCACTCTCCCTATTAGAAATAAATAAACTAAAACATGGGATATTTATTTCTCATGTATACCTATCATTTGTAAAGTTAATATTAAATGGTATATGGCAGTTCTAATTTGATGTTTGTATTAATAGGCAAAAATACATTATAGTCAAAAGAATTTTCTTCTGAATTTCCTTTTGAATATAATTTAATACCTCAAGAGGTTGGTGTAAGTACTACATGTGTATGTACTAAATGTGCCATCAGCAGGGTTTGCACATGTGTTACATAGGCTTCTGAACAGACAGGAAGGACATGTATCAAGGAGGTGAC